ACCACATGAGGTGCGAATGACAATAAAGAAACTCTGACTCTGACTCTGACTCTGACTCTTAAAAGTTTAAATTTGAACATTGACTGCTATTTTAAAATGATATTAGTATTCCTCGAAGGAATGCACATCTGCCTCCACCATACATGTTCAAGTTTTAAACAGAGATCATCTTGCATGTTCCATTTGTCCTCAATCGGCACGATGGGGATGACCCTCAACTACTACCACACCAAATTATAGCTCCATATTTGTAAAATGGACTGAGTTTGATCAATTATAGAGTTTGGTAAGGCTGACTGGCTGTAGTGGCCATCTTCAAGTAGGCTGACTCTGAAAGTTAATGAATTGTAGATGCACATCCAAAGATTACTTTCAGAGAGTTTCATTAAGTTACATACAATTAAGATATTTAAGATATAAGATATTTTGCTTACAGAGAAACACACACATTCAATAGCAGCAGTTATGGGGGGGTCACAGCTCATGAAAGTGTTGTATCTACGGAGGCATTTCAAACTCAAAGAAACATTTTGTCACTGCAAATAAATAATAATTTAATGTAATTTGATTTAGATGACTCATATTCAGCTCATTTTTAAGCATATAGATTTATTTAGTTGTAAATTAGTTTAAAAAAAGGTTTCAGAGGATTAGTGTGAACGTTTATGAAGCATTCACACTATTGTGGTCCATTTTTCTTCCATAGGTTTTTCAGCATCTTTCTCATTCCACAATTTTTGTGCTATTTCAACAAGTCATATATCAAAACGTTCAGCCCATTCAGGAGAAGAGTGCTATGACTTTTGGTATTGGTGCAACTTTAGCTTTTTGAAATATTTAGCCTTTTCTGACACTTTTTTTTCCTCATAGAAAATGAATTGAGCTCATTTTACATCCTTCAAATCTTTAGATCAGTTCACAACCTTTCACTGCTCTGTTCACATTTTGTTCTGCTTCAGCTTCTTTCAGCTTCCTTGTGCAAATTTAAACTATTTTCAGCTAATTTCAGCAGTTTTTTCAGCTGTTTTGTGATCCTTTTAGAATCTTTCTGCTAATTACAACATTTTTGTGCTTCTTCTAACTTATTTCTGCCAATTTCAACTTGTTATGCTCCTTTCAGCTTATTTCTGCAAGTTTCAGCTTTTTCTACTATTTCATGTACTATTTAGCTGTTTTATGCTAATTTTAACTTTTTCTGCTAATTCCACATTTTTGCACTCATCTCAACTTTGTCAGTCTAATTCAGTGAAAATGTGCTCTCTCCACTTCCTTCTGGTAACTTTAGCTTCTTTTTGCTGTTTTAGCTACTTTCCAGCTGTTTTTTGTACTAATTTCAGCATTTTATGTCACTTCTTTGTGCTCATTTCGGCTTCTTTAAGCCTAACTGGGCAAACGTGTTATTTCTGCTTTGCTCTGCTCATTTAAGCTTGTTCTACCCTTTCAGCTAACTTTTTTTTGCATTATTTTAATCTAATTTTAGCTGTTTTCTGATAAATTCAAGTTTTTATGTTCATGTCTGCTTCTTTCAGCCTAATTAATGTCTTTATGCTAATTTCAGCTTGTTATGCTCCTTTCAGCTTTTTTCTGCTAGTTTCAGCATTTTCTGCTGCTACTTAGCTCTTTTTATTCTAATTTTAGCTTTTTCAGCTAATTCCACATTTTTTTGGTAATTTCAGTTTTTTCTGCTTCCTGCATGCAGTTTATGCTTCTTTCTGCCTTTTCAGCTAATTTTCAGCTTTTTTTCTTTTGTTGTTGCTAATTTCAGCTTTTTTTTTATTTATTCATTTTTGTGCTAATTTTTGCATATTTAAACCTAAATAAGGTGGATAACAGCATCCTGGTAAATATTCTTCTCAAAGTGAGCATCTCTTAAGAAGCATATTATTGGTTTGTAGATTATTTGACTAATAGGACACAATGCAGCTGGAGAAAGCTCAAGTTTTCTTAAAGTAAAAAAGGGTGTACCCCAGGGCTCTGTCTTGGGGCCCATCTTATCTACAATTTACATTATTGCACTGTGTGAAAATGTGCAAAATGCCTCCTACCACTTTTATGCTGATGATTGTGTAATTTACTGTTGTTCAAATTCAATTTCTCAGGCACTTAAATTTTTACAGGCTGCTTTTGATGAGGTGCAGATTTGTCTTAAACAACTAAAATTGGTTTTAAATGCTGATAAATTTGTCTGTCCCATTGAAGGATACCCCTCTAATAAAAACTGCCCAAGGTAAAGCTCTCAAGAGGGTCTCCAGTTATAAGCACCTGGGCTTAATTATCGACGAGGAGCTTTCTTGTAAATCTCATGTGAAACACCTAATCTCCAAATTAAGGGTGAAGCTCAGGTTCTACGTCAGAAACAAATCGTGTTTCTCCCTTTGAGCTAGGAAGCTTTTGATCACAGCTACTTTTTGCCACTACTTGACTATGGCGATGTTGTCTATATGTGTGCTTCAAACAACTGCCCTTGAATCCAGTGTACCATTATGCATTAAGATTTACAACTGGTTGTAGCACTGTGATCTCCATCTTAAAACCAGTATGTCTTCACTGTATAACAGGCAACATGTGCATTGGATGACTTTGGTGTACAAGTTTCTTACTGGCATGCTTCCACATTATTTATGTACTTTTATTCGAAGAATGGACAGTAGTTATGCCTTATGCTCTAAGGACTGTTTGCACCTTTATGTTCCTCGTGTGCGAATAGAAAAGGGCAAGAAAGCTTTTAGCCTTTCTGCCCCTTCAGCTTGGAATGCCTTGCATGCTGAATTAAAACTGTCAGAACTTCTTACTTTAAGTGCTTTTTGCAAACTTTTAAAAAACCGACAATGGATATCTTGTCAACAGTGCTTGTGTTTTAGATCTTAAATTGCCATTGTTTTAAATGATTATTACAATTACTGCCCTTTACTGTTATATTGTATGTTTTATATATATTTCTGAAGTCTTATTCTAATATTGTTACTTGTTTTGTTTTTATGATGTGCACTGCTGCCTGTTCTTCGCCAGGTCAACCTTGTGAAAGAGGTCTTGATCTCAGTGGGTTTTTAACCTGGTTAAATAAAGGTTTAATAAAAAATAAAATAACTGAGTTGTAGCCATTTTTGCATCTACTAATGTTGATTAACTGTGGCACCCATTTTAAATTGGACTGATTCAAGAACTTAATGAGATGTAGATGTAAATTCAAGGAGTGTTTCCTGAATGTTTTGTTGAAATCAGTGGTTCATGAGATATTTTGCTAACAAAGAGGCACTCAACAGCAACAACGTTCTTGTCCTCGTGAGTGTGTTCTGATATTTCTGGCTGGCTGGGTCACATCTGAGTTGGGTCATCACATCCGATCACACCACCCTCCTCCTGCCCTCTGACCATTCTCACCCTGATGTAAAAGTCTCCATTGTCGTCCCCTGAGCGGATGCGGAAGGTGTTGTAAGCCCCCGCCGACACGCTGGTGGCCTGGATCTGGAAGATGTCTGAGGGGACGGAGCGCTCCGAGGTGATGCTCATGTACCGGTGGACCACGGAGAAGGGCAGATCTCTGCAGCCAGGCTTGCTGACCGGACACACGCAGCGGCTGGTCCGAACACACAGGAGGAATAACATGAATCAGTGCAGTTCCTGAATCCGCCGGCAGAGGGCATAACACAACCTAAAGGATACAGCTCTGAAATCTGAAACACAACAGTAGCCTTTCTCCCTCATGTGTTTCTAACGAACATTTTATATTTCCAAATCATGGGGGTTGTGTTTAATAGTGACCTACACCTGTTCCAGCTTGTTCACAGCTGTAAAACTTATCTTACTGCACTGGAGCACATTCAGAGGAAAAGGCTGTAAACTTGGACTCATATGTGGAAAAAGTAATTGGGGTAATTTTTCAGCCTGGGCCAAACTCAGCACAGGGGGGTGATTATATTCTGAGCTGATGGCCAGCACATATTTGGGTAATTAAAGCAAGGTGTGTGTGTGGGTGTGTGTACAACACACTCTTTCATGGAGCGTCACTCACTTGTCAGACACTTGGATGTAAGGATCTTGGCAGCGGTTGTTGTCCACACACTGGTACCGTCCGTGGATGTTCACACAAGTCTGCGTCTCGGTGCACTGATGTTCACCTGTTTCACATTCGTTTACATCTGCAGACGACAAACAGCACGTGATGTTGGGCCGCGTGGCACAGAGCACGAGAGCACGAGCAGGCGCCAACTCAGAGTCATATTCAGGGTTCAGGGGGACACAGAGGTGTTTGTTGTGAAAGGGAAATAAAAGCAACTGTAGTGTGATCCCTAAGTGCTGAAATTTTCTTAAGCTGACTTTATGGGGCGGCTGTGGCTGAGTGGTTAGAGCAGTCATCCTCAAATGCAAGAGTTGGGGGTTCGATTCCACAAGTGCCGACGTGTCCCTGGGCAAGACACTGAACCCCTCATTGCCTCCGATGTGTGTCCCATCAGTGTACGAATGTGATTTAAAAGCACTGATTAGTCTTTGTACTGATATAGTAGTGCTGTATGAATGGGTAAATCGGGGCACAGATTGTAGTATAAAGCACTTTGAGTGTCTTGATAAGACAGAAAGGTGATATATAAATACAGTCCATTTACCCTTTATCATTTACAACGCCACCTAAAAGCTCAAAGGAGCAAAACGCTAGTTAAATGCAGCAAAAATGCTAGCAAAAAGCTAAATAGCAAACCAGTAGCTAGAAGCTAAAAGTATCAAACAGCTATTCCAGCATGTTGGATTAGTGGTTAGCACTGTTGCCTCACAACAAAAAGGTCCTGGGTTCAATCCCCAGTTTGGACCTGGGTCTTTCTGGGTGCAGTTTGCATGTTCTTCTCGTGTTTGCGTGAGTTTCCTCCCCCAGTCCCATGCATGTTACACTGCCTTTAGGGCCCAGGCCTCCCTTGCAAAAGAGATCTGTGATCTCAGTGAGGTTTGTCTGGTCAGCTAGAAGCTAAAAGAAGCAAAGTGTTAACTAAAAGTAGCAAAAAGGTAGTGAATGCAGCAAAAGCTTAGCTAAAACTTGAAGTAGAAGTATGGTTAGTTAAAAGCTAAAACTGGAAAATTGTTACTTAAATGTAGCCCAAAGCTAGCTTAAAGCTAATACAGCAAAAAGTTAGCTAAAAACTAAAAGTAGCTAAAATATACAGCAAGTTTGCTAAAGTGAATTTAGTGAACAATGTTTTTAAATGAGCTGTAGCATCTCTAAAGAAAAGGATAAGGGCCAAATAAACAAAATATACATATACTGTATACCTTTTCCCACTGTGGTCCTAATCTCCTTTCATACGTTTATGGGGAAATATTTTAAATACAGGTAGACTAAATATTTTGAAAATTCAAAAGTCAAGCCCCCATCTCCTAGGTAAGCTGATTGTTTACAGCATGTGAATGTTAAAATAGCACAAAGAAGTACAGTAGATAGATTGAAAAAGAACAATGAGAAACATAAAAAACAGTGTGATACTGTCAGCAGCCACACACTGAAAGGCTCACCCTGACACAGTCTGCTGCCCTGCAGCTGGTATCCCTCAGGGCACATACAGGAGAACTTCCCAGGCTCGTTGACACACTGGAACTGGCACAGGTAACTGGAGTAACTGCACTCGTCGATGTCTGAAACCATCATGGTTGTTTTTTTTTATTTGTTCACAGTAAGGATGGGAATCAAAACTCAGACACATGGAGCAATAATTACAAACAGAAAAGAGCGCGTCTCTTACCGTTGCAGGTAAAGCCATCTGGCCCGAGCTCGTAGCCCTGATCACAGCGACACAGAAACGTGCCGTACGTGTTGTAACACCTCTGAGAGCACGGTGCACCCATCTCACATTCATTCACATCTGAAAGACGTCAAAATAATTTCACATCGCTGACGTTTCCGAACATACGGGCTGTTCGCTTCACCCAGCATTCATTTTTGTTTAAAACAAAATGAACGGCTGATCTGCAGATCTGTCTCAGTTTTCAGCTGGTAAGGTCAAAACTGTGAGAAAATAAAAATGGTCGTTTGGAAAGTCACTTGTAGTTTTGCTTGATATAAACTCTGAGGGGACTTTAAAAAAGCAAAACAGTGTGAATTTTGTTCAACAGAAAGTCAACTTTCCACTCTACTAGTTGAACAAAAAACTAATTTTATTGTTTATTTTTATGACCGTGGGTATTTTTAATAATTCAGATTAAAACTTTCCAGACAAATTACAGGTCATCTTCAGAAGAACAAACTAATATCATCAATCAGCGGTCATAAAGATAATTAACAAAATTCATTAAATGTACATAGTTCAAAGACAAAAAATGGTTTAAAAAACGCACATAAAGTAATAAATTTCACATCTTTTTAATCTGAAGTGACAGAAAATAGTTCAACATTGGCGACATCCTTTGTTTACATTGAGTGCATACCTGCACTTCAGAACTGCTTATCAACATATCTAGAAAACTACTGGAGTAAACTCTTCAACTGCACCATCTGATATAGTTCAAGTTAACTTGAACTTGATAAATGAGCACCCACGACTTAATGTGCTGTTATGACATTTTATTTTATTGCATTTTATTATATTTTATTTTGATCAAATCTATTTTAGTAACAGTGTAAATAGAAGTGTGTTGTTAACAATGCTGTCGTAACATTGTTAATTTCCCCCTTGGGGGACAAACAAAGACTTATCTTATCATATTTTATTTATTTTATAGTCTGCAATGAGTATTTCTAAAATAATTAAGAAACTTTTCCCCCCAAGGAAACATTTTGAAGCATCTTAGAAATGATTACTGCTTTAACTTAGTGCTTTGTGCTGTTTGAACTTTTATAATCAAAGTATAAAACGTTTTCGTTAATACAGATGGAACTTTAAAATGATAAAAAAACTAGTTTAAATTGGTGACATTATGAAAAATGCTTCTTACAGACACAAAACAGGCAAAGCAGAAGAAACATTGGTCTGTTGATGGGAATAATTATTTGTACCTGGCAGTATTTTTCAGCACAGGTGGCTGGTAGTCAGGTGTGGTTGAGCTGATGAAAAAGTAAATTATGTGTAATCTCACCGATGCACGATCGGTTGTTTCCGGCCAGCTGGAAACCAGGTTCACACTGACAGGAGAAGGAACCGGGGACGTTAACGCAGCGATGCTGGCAGTACCTGTACCTGCACTCATCGATGTCTGACACAGAGAGGCAGACGCAGAAGGTTGGTTAGATTACTCCAGCAGCATTGAAACAAAACTTTCTGAACTGTCTGGCTTAGGCTCATAAATGGAGATGATCTTACCGATACACTCTGTGCCCACCTTGCGGTAACCATCGGGGCACTGACAGGTGAAGGCCCCCAGTGTGTTGATGCAGTCCTGGCTTGGCTGGCAGTCGTGCTCCTCCCGCTCGCACTCATTGACATCTGTATGAGTGGATGTGTGAGTGTGCAGGAGATTGATGTAAATAAATAAACATATTTCTTTAAAAAGTCTTCAGTTAATCCAAAATGCTGCTGCCAGAGTCTTAACTGGAGTTAGTAGGAGAGATCATATCGCTTCAGTTTTAGCTTCTCTCCAATGGCTCCCTGTCAAGTCCAGCATTTAATTCAAAATCTTACTTCTAACCTACAAAGCCCTCAACAACCTAGCTCCATCTTATATTTGAGATCTTATTGTTCCATATTTTCCTAACAGAGCACTTCACTCTCAGACTGCAGGCTCACTTGCGGTTCCTAGTTTCCAAAAGCAGAATTGGAGGAAGATCTTTCAGTTCTCAGGCTCCTCTCTTGTGGAACCAACTTCCAGTTTCTGTCCATGAGGCTGACACATTGTCCAGTTTTAAGACTGGGATTAAGACTTTCCTTTTTGATAAATCCTATAGTTAGGGTTGGCTAGTTACGCTGCCTTAAGATTAGACTACTGGAGGACAAATTGACCTAATTTCCTTAAATGAATTGTTAAAGTTGAATAGTTTTCATTTGATGCTATTTCTATCTTAACATGTGATTCTTGACCTGCCATTGTGTATCTGTTCCTCTCAAACCCAGCCGGTCGAAGCAGATGGCCGCTTGTCCTGAGCTTGGTTCTGCTAAAGGTTTCCTCCTCATGAGGGAGTTTTTCCTTCCCACTGTCACCTTCGTGCTTGCTCAAGATGAGATGCGATGAAGTTAAATTCAAAGCGGTCTGCTCCTCAGATGAATAATGTTAAATTATTTTTATATATGAATGTTTCTGATCAGTGCCCTGAGATGACTTCTGTTGTGACTTGGCGCTTTATAAATAAACTGAACTGAATAGATGCAAAATGTTATATAGTGAGAAAACAGCATCTTTCAGCCTGACTGACAGATGCCAGTGTGGCTAACTGAAGCGACGGCCACAATGTTCTCCTCACTTGCACCCGACAGCTGAGAATATCGTGCTGAGTCATGTTTGCTGTGTCATGCTAGTTGAACACCTCGTCGTCTTCCAGTGCAAGTAGGTTTCTTGCTGAAAGTCAGCTTTCAAAAACGCAGCAGCTGTCTTCGTGTGAAATCCTGTCCTGTCCTGCCTCCTGTGGGCTCATACTCACTCCCACCCACACAGATTGCACCAACATGCTGCCTCCAGCCTCAACCACCTGTCCCTCACAATCTGTGGCTGCCAACAATAAAACTTACACACACAACCCTAATGATCACTCATCCTGTGGCCACCTGTCCACCTCCAACCCCCGCCCAGATGAAAAAAAAAACAGACACCCACCCGCACAGCTGTCTCCATGTGGCTCGTAGCCCTGGGGACAGGTCTCGGTGGGTGTGTTTTGGGGCTCCGGGGCAGGAATAACCGATGCAGAGCGGGGAAGGCACAGGTAGCCTCCATAGTGGTTGAAGCACTTCATCTCCCCTTTGCAGGCGTCTGGGATGGTCTCGCACTCGTTTATGTCTGACATGAGATATTATATTAAAAATTTAGGACTCAAATGAGAAAGACTGTAAAGAATTGTGGGTAAAAAAGCGAGTCACCTTTGCAGTGCTCAGTTTGAGAGTCCCACTTATACCCATCAGTGCATTCCTACAAAAAAAAACAAAAAAAAAACAGAATAAATAAAAGCACCAGAGAGAAACACTGTGTGAGAAAATGATGGAAAAAAAGATGTGAGGGAACACTCTGAGCCAAGGCATTGCATAATATATTCATCATACATAATAAATCTCCAGTAGTGGAGCATGAAAAAAAAAAAAAAAAACAAGCAGGCGGTAGAAAAGTTTGTTTGCTCTGAGTTTATGTCAGAGTGCTGATCCAAAAAGAGAGTGCTTCTGTGAAAGGGTTTGTGATATTTTAAACCTAAGCCTTGAAGCCAAATGTCACTTCAAAATCAAATCAGAGCAATGTTGGGGAAAGGCAGGATCATTCAGAGCGTGCGTGCGTGCGTGCATGTGTGTGTGCGTGCGTGCGTGCGGGGGGATGTTCCACTATGACCTGTGTGGAAGGAAAAACCGAGGAGTGACGAAACGCGGTAATAAAAAACTAAATGAACCCCAGCAAAGAGCACTAAGAAGTACAGAGGAGGAACGTTTTTGTGGAACATTAAATGAAAGGAAAAGAGTTGAGGCTAATATTTCCACCCAGAAACACCAGAATCACCTGACAGGTGTGCTGCAGCGGCATGCAAATGTAAAAGTACCTCTGGGCAACATTTCTGTCTTGACAAGCTAAACAAGGAAAAGAAATCACCTGATTTCTAGGAGGCAGGGAAAGTTCAAAATGACACATTTTGTTAATATTTTAGACAAAACTATTTATCGACGCAAATCAGAGCATTCAAATGCATTCAGGAGCCTTGTTTTTGTTTTGTTGTCCATTTTGTGTGCATGTTTATGAAGCATTCACACTGTTGTGATCCATTTTTCTTCCGTATTTGTTTCAGTGCGATTGTTGTCCCGTAGTTTTTAAGCTATTTCAACAAAGACTTTTGGTATTGGTGCAACTTTAGCTTGTGGAAATATTTAGCCTTTTATGCCATTTTTTCTTCATAGAAAATTAATTGAGCTCATTTTAGATCCTTCAATTTTTAGATCTGTTTACACCCTTTTACTGCTCCTTTCACATTTTGTTCTGCTTCAGCTTCTTTCAGCTAATTTCAGCTGGGTATTTGTTGCAGATGTTTTGTGCTCCTTTCAGATTCTTTCAGCTACAAAATATTTTTGTGCTTCTTCTAACTTCTTTCTGCTAATTTCAGTTTGTTAAGTTCCTTTCAGATTATTTCTGTCAGTTTCAGCTTTTTCTTCTATTTCTGCAGTATTTAGCTGTTTGTATGCTTATTTAAGCTTTTTCCACTAATTCAGCTTTTTTTTTTTTTTACACTCATTTCAACTTTTTTCAGCCTAATTCAGCAAAAATGTGCTCTCTCCACTTCTTTCCAGTAATTTCAGCCTCTTCCTGCCGTTTTAGCTACTTTTCTGCTTTTTTTTTTTTTTCAGCTTTTTTCAGATAATTTCCATTTTGGGGCTCATTTCTGCTTATTTCAGCCTAATTGGGCAAACGTGTTTTTTCAGCTTTGCTATGCTAATTTAAGCTTGTTCTACATTTTCACCTATAGCTTTTAGCATTTTAAGCTAATTTCAGCTGTTTTCAGATAAATACAAGTTTTCCGTAGTAATTTCTGCTACTTTCAGAATAATTAACTTCTTAATGCTAAATTCAGCTTGTTACGCTCGTTTCAGCTTTTTTCTGTTAGTTTAGCTACTATTTAGCTGTTTTATGCAAATTTTCACTTTTTCAGCTAATTCCACTTTTATTTTTTTTTAACTAATTTCAGCTCTTTCTGTTTCATTCTGGTAGTTTAAGATTCATTTTCCTTTTCAGCTACTTTTCAACTATTTTTTTTGCTAATTTCAGTTTTTTTTAATTCTCTAATTGTTGTGCTCCTTTCTGCTCATTTAAACCTAATTCAGCAAATATGTTTTCTTTCTGCTTTCTTCTGCTAATTTAGGCTTGTTCTTCCATTTCAGCTACATTTCAGAATTTTCTTAGCTAATTTCAGCTGTTTTTCAGCAAGTTCTTCAGCAATACGCATTCAAACTGCCTTTTTGCAGGAAATGCAATTTCTCTAGTTTTATACAGTACTAGCTTTCAAACTAGCAGTTCTATAAGGACATCAGGTCCATTATGCATGAGGTGCTTTAAAAAGCCATTCAACAATTTTTAATAATAATGATATGTTACAGGATAGATTTTATTTTAATTGTTAGATTTTAGGACCCCAAATGATCTAGCTCCATCTAATCTCCAGGATCTTTCACATCATTCTTTAAAAAAAAAAACACTGGGGTTAAATAACGTGAAGCTTTGAGACGTTCCAAGATTTAAACCTGAGAGGCGATCGCATGTTTGCAGTTGCTGATCTGAATGATTTACTTCTCCATAGATCTGCTCAGGCTTTAGAACATTTTAAGATGCTCCTATAAACCAATTTCTGCTTAAGCAGAGTTTAACTTGATTTGTTATCTGTCCTTTTAGAGTGATTATATTGAATGATTTTACTATTTTGTTTTTATTACTTTCTATCTTTTGAGACTTTTACTTTTATCAGTTTTATAAGTTTCTTTGTAAAGTCATTTTGCTGTACAGCACTTTAGCCTTTGTTTTTTGTAAAACGCTGAATAAACAAATAGATATTAATTTGTAGCATGAGGGTCACAACAAAACTGGGAAAGTTTGGACATTATGAGGCTTGTAATGTTTTGAGGTGTCATTAAAAGGAAATTTTGGACAATTTTTACTGTGGCTTCGTGGAAAGGTAATGAACAATTACTATTGTACGTGTTGTAGATAGCTCTGAAACATCTCGGTTTGTAAAAATAAATTTTTAGTCTGATCAGATAACGGATAGTCTGAAGGCAGGTGGGTTGCTGCTTTGGTTTAATCTATAAAATTCCACAGTGGTTCATGCAAATACCATTTAATAAATCTTTGCACCACCTTGCATGGTTATTTACATGACATTATTGGCTATCTGCAGAGAGCAAATAGCAGCAGCAGCTATCTGTAGCATTTCTGGCTGAAATATATTTTTCTGCAGGAAAAGTAAAACAGACAACAGAGTAAAGGTTTGGTAAACTGTGTTTGCATGAACCTCTACAACATTTTGGATATTGCAGCAGCTTTAAGACTAGCCCGTTCAGACTATAGCTGTTAGTTCATCTCAAACTACTTCTCAGATCTGAGGTCCTTCAAAGCAGGTTAGATAATTATTATTCATAACTTGTCTGCACAATATTGTTTCAAAATGCCCAAAATATGCCTTTGAGTTATTTACCCTTTAGAAAACTTTGGTTTGGTACAGTGTGATTTTTACTAACAAAACTTGTTAATAAACTATGAATGTATCAGTTCAGCTCTCTTTCAGTAAATTATTCCTCACATTGTTGATTAAAGCCAAATTATAAGATCAGTTCATCCTCCCAATTACCAATGAAGACAATCCTTTTCACACATTTTGCACATTTTTCTCTATAAACATGAATTTGTCCATCCTCTGGACCCATTTCCTCCAGCTCAACCTGTTTGACAATCACTTTTTTTCTGCCACCTTACAACTAATGAAGCATTTACTTGAAAATGCTTTGCTGTTTTTATATATATATAATTTTCTCTTGCTTTAAGAACAATAATAATTTTAAAGTGTCATAAATATATTTGGCTGCAGATTGATTGATTTGATTGTTCATCAAAATCATTAAAATTCATTTATTTTAAGTCTGATTTTTGAAAAACTGTTGTGATAGCTGAATTTTTATTTTTGCACGAGGCTCTTCTCCTTTTCCACCTCAAAAAAATGGTCCTTGGAAATATCTTGGTGAAAAACGTTTTACCTGTTTGAAATATTCAGACTTCACTGAAACACAAATTAAAACTTGTGGTCTCCTAACTTTTTTTTATAGGTCAGGAACATGAAAGAAAGAAAATTAATGCAGTTATTTTTTTTAATGATACGAGAGGAGAAAGAATGATAGTGATTCATCCATTCTTACCGTGTAGGTGTCAGTTTCTCTGTGTGACTGTGAAATCGCACTGCGGAGAAACACAGACACACATATGCACACACACAAAACTGACACACAAGCACCCTGCATACTAACGCACTGATTGATGGGTAATCAAGCAGAAACACACATAAAACATGCACACAAACGCACACACAACTATCAGACAGGTAGCGGTGCTGTGGAGTCCAGACTGAGATGAGCAGGGCTGTCAAGAAGTGGTACCTGTAAATCAGAAAGAGAGGGGGAGGGACATAAAAAAGACAACTTTTAATTATTTAAAAAATCAACTAGAGGAATTGCATTTCCTTATTCCACAAGAACTTGCTGAAAAACAGCTGAAATTAGCTGAAAAAAAAAAACTTATTGACATGTAGCTGAAATGGAAGAACAAGCCTAAATTAGTAGAGGAAAGCATAACGAGCACAAATTTGCTGAACTAGGTTTAAATAAGCACAAATGAGCACAAAAATTTGAAAATTAGCTAAAAAGCTTAAATTTGTAAAAATAAATTTAAAAAAAATTTCATTTACCCTTTATTTATACAGGTAGTCTCATTGAGTCACGAGAACTCATTTTCAAGAGAGACCTGTTTGGGGAGCGGATGGTGGGTGTTGAGGGCCTTGCACAGGGGCCCAGGGTAGGGTGAGTGAGGGTGGAGGCAGGTGTGGGTGTTTCACATTTTCCACCCACATTTTGATGTTGACGGTACCAGGAGTTGAACCTGCAACTTTCTGATCACGGACCCATCTTCTAACCTCTGCGCCACCACTCCCCCATAATTAATTATTTAATTAAATAAAAATGAACTAAAATTTTTTTAGAATTAGCTAAAAAAAAAAGTGACATTTTGCATAAAACAGCTAAATAGTAGCTGATATAGCAACCAAAAAAAAAAAAAAAAAAAGATGAAACCAGCAGAAAAAAAGCTGAAAGGAGCATAATAAGGTGAAATTTGCATAAAATTTTAATTTGGCTGAAAGTAGCAGAAATTATCACAAAAAATATATATATTTATTTGAAAACAGATAAAATTTGCTAAAAAAAATGCTAAAGGTAGTTGAAAAGGTAGAAAAAGCTTAAAGTATCAGAAAAAAAACAGAAAGAAGGCATTTGCCCACTTAGGCTAAAAGAAGCAGAAATGAGCACAAAAAGTGGAAATCATCTGGGAAAAAGAAAAAAATTAGAAAAATAAATGAATTAGGCTGGAAAAAGTTGAAATGAGTCCAAAAAATTTGTTGAAAATGCTTAAATTAGCATAAAAACAGATGAAAGTAGAAAAAGTTGAAACTTGCAGAAATAAGCTGAAAGGAGCTTTGCAAGCTGAAATGAGCAGAAAGAAGTTAGAAGAGGCACAAAAATGTTGTAGTTAGCAGAAAGACCCTAAAAGGAGCACAAAACAGCTGAAAAACAGCTGAAAATAGCAGAAAAAATGTTTAAATTTGCACAAGGAAGCTGAAAGAAGCTGAACAGGAACAATATGTGAAAGGAGCAGTAAAAGTCTATAAACAGATCTAAAGATTTGAAGGATGTAAAACGAGCTCAGTTCATTTTCTTTGAGAAAAAGAAATGACAGAAAAGGCTAAATATTTCAAAAAGCTAAAGGTGCACCATTACCAGAAGTCATAGCAGGATTGAAAGAGATGTTTCGCTATATGAGTTGCTGAAACGGTTTAAAAACTGAGACAAGAATCGTCCACAGTTCAATTCTCTTCTCTTTCAAAACTGTGACGTGAAGATGGAAACCAAAATGTAAAACCTAAACAGAAAGTGCTGGAGGAGCTCATTTGAAATAAATTACCAGTACTCAGAAAGCAAACAGCTTCACGAACTCACTTCATCATCCGTCAGCCAGATTCTTTTTTTCTCTCTTTAATCGCAGCAAAAATAAATGGAAATAATCCCCCCTGCCAGGTCAAAACATAAACATTGTGACGTACTCTAACTCAGCTAAAAATAACCAAGTCAACATGACAGAAATATTTTCATATTAGCTGCTTACAGAAAGCTCTCTGTCTGCAGACGGAGTGGGCAGGGCCTCCAGAATCCTGTTGCTGGGTTTATGATTTACAGCAGCAACTTTAGCTCAGACACTTCAAACTTTATTTATCTCTGTGGTAACAAAAATAGACTTTCAGGGATGGCCTCACCCAGGATAACCACATTTCAGTGATAAATACATTTAGCTTACAATTTATGTTAGTAAGTAGTTAAATTTTACACAAAAACATCACAGATTATGCATGGTGTGTTCCATTGATGTAAGAATGTGATCTAAAGCAATATAAAACAATTTCTTCTGATTAGCTTTGTAGAGATCTAGCAGAGTGATGTATGAATGTGTGTGGATGGGTAAATGAGGGCACAGATTGTAAAACAGTTTGAGTATCCTAATGGGTTAAAAAGGCGCTATATACAGTCCATTTACCATTATAATGTTTCTGAATGGAGACTTCCGCTTCCGGTATGCCCGAGTAGAGACGCTTGCAGACTACGCTCCGACCGAAATAACTTTTAATTTGCCTGCGGTAAAAATACGAATCCACCAAAACAACCAGAAAACATTATTAGAATGTCTTCAACACAAAAAACGACAAGACGAGAAACGAAGACGGGAAAAGGCGAGGATATGAAAATGGCACAAAAACAGCTAACGCTAGATGCTAGCTTAGCTCAGAACGACTCCGGGAGTGAAACATTACTGCTAACGGAGCTCCGCAAATTTCGGGAAGAGTCTAGAATTGCACAACAAGACATTCTGGAATCTCAAGCACGGATGGAGGCGTCAATTGGAGAAATGAAAAAGAAAATTGACACACTGGAGGAGAGAGTGAGTAGCACTGAAGATCGAGCTATACAGCATGAAAAAGCGTTAGCTTACTTGCTTAAAAAAGACGCCAGACTGACTGCTAAACAAGACGACATAGAGAACAGATTGCGCAGGAACAATATAAGAGTGTATGGGATAAAAGAAGAGTCAGAGGGAAAGGAGATGATCCCGTTTATTATAGATTTTTTCAAATCTGTGCTAAAATTGCCTGAAGACACGAGTATCTGCATTGAGAGAGCTCACAGAGCTATGGGCCCAAAGCCGAAACCAGCAGCACCACCAAGATCCATCATAGTTCGCTTCTTGGATTTCAATGTTAAACAGATGGTGCTACAACATGCGTGGAAGCAACGGGACGTGGAGTTTAAAGGGAACAAAGTTTACTTCGACCAGGACTACTCCCCCGAGGTGCAAAGAAAACGAAAACAAGTGCGTGAAGTGATTAAAAAACTAAAGGAGCGCAACATCAAGGCACAATCTCCATATCCGGCCCAACTTAGGATCTTCCTGGATAAGGGTGTCAAGACTTTTCCCTCTTTACTCGAGGCCCAATCCATTCTGAGGGAGCTTGGGGTCCCTGTGGAGGTGGAGGATCGGGACATTCTGGAGAAAGAATTACAACGTGATAGATGGCAGACCCAGGGAAGACGTGAGAAAGATGATCAAACTTCATATATCAGAGCTATTATAAACTCTGCGGACCAACATAAGGAGGACGCAGGGGGTACTATATAACTGATTCTGCCTTCAAATGGTGGAGTGAGTAAAAGTAAGAAACAAGACAACGCAGGTTCTTTATTGTTAATATTTCTATATCATCGGTCGGAGTACTGGGGGTGAGTGTTTTCTCTTCAACAGGGCAGTTAAGGCAGCAAAGAGTTGGAGAATATGTGGACTGCTGCCTACACACTATGTGTACCCCACCCAGGGAGATCACCCTCCCTGTCCTTTTTACATCAGGAATGTGCTGCCTGTGTTAGTCAAAGGGGCAGCACATGGAACAATTGGAAGTTCTATAAAGATGCAAGTTTGTTTTCTTGTTCACTTAGTTCATTGTTTTTCGGCAAGCTGATGTTGAATGTAAAAAATGTTCACAAAAGTAATAGACTATTGAAGAGAGGTAAACTAATTTTGGATTTCACATAGTTATGACAACTTTGAAAATTGTTACTTACAATATTAATGGTGTAAATCACGCTATTAAGAGGAAAAAAATCCTAACTCAATTAAAAAAGCTGAATTGTACAATTGGGTTTTTACAAGAAACTCATTTAAATGAGGAAGAGCATGCTAAATTAAAAAGAGAGTGGGTGGGACAGATATTCAGTGCATCATATGAAACATATAAAAAAAGGGGTGTAGCTATACTATGTCATAAATCTTTATGCTTTGTAGCAAAACACGTACTCAAGGATAAAGGAGGCCGCTGGATAATGGTAACTGGTTCTGTAGGAGGAATTATTCTAACAATGATGAATATTTACGCCCCAAATGAAGATAATCCGAGTTTCTTTAAAGAGTTAGCCCAAATTTTAGCGGGACATTCGAAAGGAATAATTGTTTTGGGTGGAGACTTTAATTGTGTCTTGAACCACTACATGGACAAATTCCCATTTGAACAAAAACATCAATTATCAAAAACAAAAGCGTTGAAAAACTTGCTAGAGGAGATTGGGCTTACTGAAGTATGGCGCACAAAACATCCAAAGGTTAGAGATTATACACATTTCTCCAAAGTCCATAAGAGCCACTCTAGAATTGACTTCTTTTGTATTTCCAAACAAGAGGCTCACAGAGTGGTGGAATGTCATATTGAACCCCAAACTATTTCAGACCATGGACCCGTGATAATGTCTTTAAATGTGGACCTAGAGAAACCCTTAAAGTTATGGAGATTGAATGTATCACTCTTAAATAACCCAGAGACAATCCAATATATAAAAGACGAACTTAAATTTTTCTTAGACACAAATGATAGGGATATGATCTCCCCTTCTATTCTATGGGACACAGCCAAAGCTTTTTTGAGGGGAAAAATTATTTCATTTTCCTCAAAAATAAAAAAGGAACGTGAGAAAAAGCATGAAAAACTACAAGATCAAATTAGGAAACTTGAAACTGAACATAAAAGAACAAATAGTGACATTATATTACAGGAGCTGAAAGAACATAGAAAAAATCTGAATGACTTATTAACCTACAAGGCAGAGGGTGCATTACGCTTCGCTAACCAAAAATATTATGAACAGGGAAACAAAGCAAGTAGAGTTTTGGCATTTCAGACAAGGAAATTACAAGCAAGCCGAACTGTTCAAAAAATTACATGCCCAATATCTAAAAAGTTTGTCTCCCACCCTAAAGAGATAGCAAACGCATTTTCAAAATTTTATAAACA